ACACCTGATACTGTAAAGGTCCCAGTAACAAGCCAGGCTTTTGAAAGGCGTCCAATCAGACCCAAGCATTCAGTCTGAATGTGAGAACTCGTCAGTGCATTCCATGGATTAATCTGACGCTATCACGAGGGCAGATGCCAGCTGGCACACCGAGATAACAGACTATTTTAGGACATTCATACACAGGAATATGTCTCGAAACATAGAGAGAAACTGAGAGAAATCTGAGCTATTTGTGTTACTATAAACCTGGAAATATAAAAAATATAGGCTTCGACTTACTGAATACATGCAAATTCCATGGCAATTCATTGGAAGGACTGTAAATCTTGGTGTGGTTAAAGTTATATTTCATTTATTTATATTTATATTTTTTGGATTTTTTGAAAAAATACTAAAGGTGCAATTAAAGTTTTTTTAGACCGCCAACTGCTGAAGTTGTGGTCCTTGGAGGGATCTAAATGTCACATGTAATATAAAGAAAATCAAAATCAAATGTAATAACATTTAAACAAGTCTAAAGAGGTCAGTAATGGTCAGTGCAGCACACAGTCAAGCTCTTCAAAACTGGAAATGCAACTATTTTTTATGGTCCGTTTTGTTCATACGGGTCAAACAATGGTGTTTGAAGGCATTTAAATACAGATCCTGTTTATTTATACACAAGTGTTGTTTGATTTGTGCATGAAAAGCTTGCCTTTCTTCTCAATATCACACTTCCAGAAGTTAAGGTTTGATAAACATCTCCATACAGCAGCGCAGACGTTTCTAACCTGGGTGGCCTTGGCAGGGAAATGAAGCACTCACCCTGATATTTAACTCCAAATGGCACCTCTCCCAAAGCTCCTTCCAGGTAGAAACTAATTGGCAACTCACATCTGTGACCCATTCACTGTTTTAATGAGTGAGCGAGGAAGAGAGAGCCGAGTATGAATGGACAAGCTTGGACTTTAACAACCGGCCATTTGGTACCTATGTGGCAATTATGTCCCGAGCACAATGGCCTCAGTGCAAACAGGGCGAGCGCCGAGATAAACAACGTTCCTCTACAGCTACATTTGATACATTTATCAAAACTCCTAAATTTATGACAAGGCAACAAAACAATTCAGGTTTTGTATTGAATTTGCTTGATTCTCCACTTAAATGGCACAAAAAACTGGAAGAGGAAATATATGGGTACAATAGATGCTACATAAATCGAAATTAAATGTAGATCAGCATCTATAAAGATTTTCATCAATGTCTTTCTCTTTTTTTAGAAACAATTTTGACAGACTAAATTCACCACTTATATTTGTAAAAGAATATATATCATATTTACCCCACTAAAAATGCTTAGAATAAGGGTCCTGAATATGGATGGATGGATCAATAGATGGGATGGATGGGTCATATTGGGCAATATAAAGAAGCAGAACTTTCTAAGAGAAGCATGTCTTGAAATAGATAAAAACTTTAAACCCTTCAAAGCCTGATGCAAGAAAAAATAGTTTTTTTTGTATGAAGTCTTTATTTGGTTCTTTAACTAAATATGAATAAATAAATAAATAAATAAATAAATAAATAAATAAATAAATAAATAAATAAATACATTTGGAATACTTAGCATTTTCGTTGATTTATTCATTATTGTTGTGTAGTTCTGCCCACTGTTGGCAGGTACAACGAGGTTTTGAGCAAAGTTTTTATTATTAATTATGCAAAAGGTCTCAGATGCAAAACATTTCAGAAACTATTTGTGTCAAATATGATACATGAGGCTTTAGAGGGCTAAATTACAATAAATAGAACAGCATTACTTAATGTGGGAAATTATCTGTGCGTGTAGAATAAGTTCAAATAAAATTCAGCTCATTAGTCTTTAAAGTTTATAAAGGGTGTATCTGTCCTAAAATCAAAAGGGTCCATATAAAACTCCCACCTATGACATGTTGCCCTTTTCGGTTTTAGCTTTTATTACCTATTCACCCAACAAGTTTTTCACTCAACTGTTTTGGAGAGCTGCGTAAATGCACCATCTCCACCTCGGGATTTGTCTGGGTCCAGCCTTTTTGCTGATATTTTGACTGTCGGCCCTGCTAAACCCTCTGGGGTTTTCTGACACAGAGCAGCCACAATCTGTTAAATCTGCTGCTGTGAAATCATTAGAGCTCTACGTGGACCACCTTAATCTGCACGAACGCTTTTGTGTGTGCGCCCGGGTGTGTGTTTAGAAGGGTGGGATTAGTTTGATACTTGCATTAAGTATGAAGGGAGGATCAGTGCTCTATTTAGTCATTTTGGGACTCAGCGCAGACTAAGCCATGTAATCCCGTTCCCTTATTTTCCCAGTTCCCTGTCTATTAACAATTACCTATATGAGGCTATTTATCCTATCTTTATTCTTCTTTATTGTAGATTTAAGCCAGCTAACTATAAACCAAATCAAATCCAGTTTAATGCATAATATTATAGCATGCCTTAAAAGTAGGATTCCAAGATTTCCGGTTGTCCCTGATTGGTTAAATGAAAATAATACTTGAGAAAGGATTCCCCCCAGTAAGACCTTTCCAAACACTCTGAGTGCCCTAAACTGGGGCTGCACGCTGACAGGTATGCAGACAGAGTTGAGTATCCAAATACCTGGATTTATTTTTGCCATCTGAAAGATTTCACAAATGGAAATCAATCTCCTGCCAATTCTGTCAAGATTATTTAGATCTTTGTTTGCCTTATTGATAAGAATGGATACCTGTGGTTTATGTGTCAGTTTGTGCCTGTTGTTCAGAATGTGTCCGCGGACTGTTACTGCCTTAATGCAGCTGGGTTTTAGTTTTTCCTCATTTCAACCGATCAACTCTTCGATCTGCACTCTTTTCCAAATATTGTAAGCAAAACATAACAGTATTTTTTGTCAATGCAGGAAATTATTGATTAGGTCAATTAAAAGTTCCCATTGATTTTTATCCTGTTAATTCTGTCATTGACTGAAACAAGAGTTGTTTTTTTAAACTACTCAGCACTGTTTGAGCTATCAAAGAATTTGAATTAAGCCGTTATATTCACTTAGCATTTTATTGTCATTTTTGTTTTTATTGGCAACGTAAGCCCTAAAGATATTTAAAAAGAAAACATGGATTTATACTTTGCTACCGATACTACATTATCTGAAATGATTTTATTTATTCTTTCATGTTGGTGTTTCCAGTTCCTTGATTATAGGCATGTATATATATCAGACTAATTACTATATCTTTCTTCTTATTTATCAACCAAATCATATCTAAGATTAAGGTACATTTTTCACATGCCTGAACAGTGGTATTCCAACATTTCCAGCTGTCCCAGTTTGGTTAACAAAGGAAAATGATACCTGAGAAAGAATTCCTCCCTATGCCCCTTTCCAAACTATAGGTGCACGTACACAGAAAGACTTGCATCTAAATCCATCAATTTCTCAACTGGATTCATATTTATCTATCCATGGATTTACATAAGACTGGGGGGGGGGGGG